ACAGACATCCTTACAGGTAAGGAGTTCTTGAAACAAGCCAGGATGTGGATGTAGAAAGAGACTTTCAGAGAGTCTGTCAGGGGTTGAATGAAATAAATGGAAAGATCCAAGCTTTCGTAATTGCAGTGTACTCAGAGACTTAGCTAAGCAAAGCAAAGCAAAACATTCTGGATAACTTAATCAGAAAAAAACCAAAGCTATTGTTACTGGACATGAAACATCTAAGCTGTAGAAAAGGGTCATAGAGGATGCTGGTAGTTCCCAGCAGCTCCTGAGTCAACAGGTTAGAAGTATTACAGGTTTTGAAACATAAATTCCAAAAATTTGTTGGATTTTTGTTTGCATTAAAACAAAGAAACCTTACCCAAAATAAACATCTTATGAAAGTCTTTTTTTCCATTTTAGTTCATAATCATTTAACATAGTAATGCAATAACTCAACATTTGTAAGAAGGCTTGAGCACAACCCATATTTTTAGAATATGTTGGTGTTATTTACAATTGTATATAATTGTTAGGATTATTTAGGCTAGGCACTCAGATGACTGAAATAGAGGCATTGTAGTGTCTTAGATAATACAGTAACTACCCTTCTTGTAAAGGTAATAGCCTTCCACAGTAATGGATGCAATGACTCAGTGTTGTGAAGGATGTGTCAACGCATAAACTTAGTCCGGCTTGCACCAATCCTTGAAGGTCATCTGCTGCCCTAGTAGGTACAGCCAGTACTTGGTTACCCCTCCAGGATGCAGCTCACAACTCAATTTTTGTGCATTTATGTATCATTGCTAGAGGAAGCAGGAATGTAGAAGCAGCTCATACATTCAAATATGCCCCTTCCTTGCTTTAATTACTCTTTGTAAATGAGTAAATAACTGCTCTGTGCATCATGGGTTTTATGTGCTGTTACAACAATAAACCTACCATGACTGTCTTCTTTGGAATACTGGCAAATCTGTCCATAAAGCTTAAAATAGCCTTTGGATTTGATGCTATGCATATGAGAGTCTTTACAGCTATTGCCTTATATTATCTCTATTACATCTAAAGAAATTTTCAATAAAAAACCTATTGAGTATATGTACTGATAGCTCAAAAATACGATAAAATTAGAGTAATTTTGATAACTATTTGGCTAAAATTTTTAAAGAGCTGTTGAGTTTATTAAAAAATCCCTCTAAAATCATGAAATAAAACTCTAGACGTCAATCACCTTTAAGTTCTTAGGGATTCCACATAGTAATCATAGTTTTAGGACTATGGACTTTAGTGTTTGTGGTCCTAAATTAAAATAATTGCTCAATAAAACTTTTTTCCATGCATCATCTATTTCCATATATAGAATCACGTTACTCAATATTTATGCTGCAACTTAGCTCATAAAATGGATTTAAATCTGAAATACACTCCTGCTGGTAGGGAAAATCCTTTGCTTTTGCATTTCCTACGTCTTTGTTTAGTTAATGAAGAATTAAATAGAGGAAGCTATTAGTAGCAAGGATTAAAATTTATTTAATAAAATAGTAACTTATGAAGTTTAGCTTTTGTTGCACTCTAGGACCAGTTTCAAAATCCAGTTTTTTTCCATTTAATCACTACATGTGATGGTTGGCTTATGGAAATCCCTTTTTACTAATAAACAGAGTTAAACTACCTGCTTTTGTGCCATGCTTTGTTTCCTCCCTTCCAATATAGAGAAAAGAGTTGGAATTTGTCTGGTGCCTTCAGCATCATTGAATTCGGGGTTTGTCATGAGAACAGACTACAAAATCAGAGAGCCTTCATAGGGAAACTTCTTGGTGAATACAGGCATAATTGCTGGCTTGCAAACTGGAAGGAAATACTTAAAATCTTCTAGGTAATGCACTGACGATGATCATCATGATGATGCAATAGTGTGTGGCTTAACCAAAACTTCCAATTATGTCTGGAGACAGATTGAAATCTGATGCAATCTGTTGAGTGTTTCCTACTGTCACATGGCTAAGAAAAGCTATAGTAGCTCATTGGGGATTTCCAAATGTTAAGAGGATAGCAGCAACACCAGATGTTCAGTCATGAAGGTCAGCTGTCTGACAGGGCTCAGACACATTCTGCAGATGACTTTTGCTAGATAGGTTTCTAGGACCAGCCAGAAAGAAAGGCAGGTGCTGAGATTCTGAATAAGAGAATCTTTTTGCCTAAGTGATTAAATAAGAAAATACTTGTCTTCAACACACAGCATGTAAATTCTCCTTCCTGCCCTCTTTCTCTTGGACATAGGTTCCTTTGTTGTAACTCATCTAAAGTGCTTAAGATCTGGTAGCTCTGTCTTCTGATATTTATCCAGACTACTTTCATGTAGTTGTGTGGCTGCCAGTGCTGATCATGCCTGCCAAAACCTATAAATCTCTGTATCAATTTTTCCTCTCTAGAAAGTAGAGTTTGTGGTGGGAGTGGGGGAAGGCCGTCACAGGAAAAGGATGTTTCTGAGTACACACACCTTTGTCTAGATACCACAAATGCCTTTCTGTCCCTGAACTGCAGATGGCGTTCCATGTTCTCAGAATCCAGCAGTTGCCATAGAAACATGGATCAACTTCAACAAGGAGGAGCGAGCCGGCTTTTCAGAGACTCTGCGATCAAGTCTGAAGGTATAAAAAGACCTTCTGTTCTGGGGCTGGTGTAGCACTTGCTGGTTTCACACTTCCCAGGACAGGGTATTCTGCTCACAGGTGTGACTTTAAAGTTGCAAAACACAAATGCCGTTGAAATTCATGGTGCTTGTGAGAGAATACTTTCATTGTCATAAATAGCAACCCCTCTGACAGCTTTTTTTAATATAACCTGATGTTGATATCACCGGTGATTGGAGCAATGCCACAAATTCCTTCTTTCACTCGATCCTCAGTTACCAAAGAGACTATTCAGAAATCTACGTTTGGTATTCCCCTTAAAATAACTGTACTCCATCAGTGATGTAACTGTCCCTTATCTAAACCATAAACACTTGGGTTCCAGTGATGTCTCTGGCTATTTTGCTGTCAGATATGGCTGGTATCTTGAAAAGGCCTTGAGGCTCTGAGTCCTGAATGCTGTAGGGCGGCAAGACTGGGAAAAAAGGTTTTATACCTCAGACCCACAGATGGGTCCTAAGCTGAAAAATCCAGTGATGTTTGTGTAAACAGATCTAATTCTCCTTTCTCTCAGGTGATTGGAGAAAATGTTCACATCTACCTGATTGGAAAGGAGTCGTCACGTACACATTCACTCGCTGTCTCTCTACATTGTGCTGACGATGACTCCATTAGTGTGAGTGGCCAGAACAGCTTGTGTCACCAGATCACCGCAGCCTGCAAGCACGGTAGTGACCTATATGTTGTTGGTGGCTCCATTCCACGACGCATGTGGAAATGCAACAATGCAACTATAGACTGGGAATGGTGTGCCCCTCTGCCCCGTGACCGGCTCCAACACACCCTTGTCTCTGTGCCAAGCAAGGATGCAATATATTCACTGGGGGGGAAAACTCTACAGGACACTCTCTCTAATGCTGTCATATATTACAGAGTACGAGACAACGTCTGGACAGAGACCAGCCAGCTGGAAGTGGCAGTCTCTGGAGCTGCAGGTGTAAACCTTAATGGTGTCATTTACCTGCTGGGTGGGGAGGAAAATGACTTGGACTTCTTCACCAAGCCCTCTCGGCTAATTCAGTGCTACGATACCAACACAGAGAAATGCCATGTGAAGCCATACGTGCTGCCTTTTGCGGGGCGCATGCACGCTGCTGTGCACAAGGACGTGGTGTTCATTGTCGCTGAGGGGGATTCACTGCTATGCTATAATCCCCTACTGGATAGCTTCACCCGGCTATGCCTCCCAGATGCCTGGAGTTCAGTACCATCCCTCTGGAAAATTGCCAGCTGCAACGGCAGCATCTATGTCTTTCGTGACCGCTATAAAAAGGGTGATGCAAATACTTTTAAACTTAACCCAGCCACCTCTGTTGTAACAGTCACGAGTGGCATCAAAGTGCTTCTCACTAACCTCCAGTTTGTCCTGGCCTAAGCAGGAAAAACAGGCCAGTGATAGAAAGGGCAGCAACAGTGTCCTGCTGTGCAGCTTGGAGACACCTACCACCCTCAGCACCAGTCCCAATTACCACAAGCTCACAACATCCAGTAAAGACCCCATTCTCTGTACCTGTGCAGAGGAAGTACAGGCTTTCTGATTGTGGGCCTATTCTTTTACATAGCACTCACTATTGAACTTTATTGAACTCTTGTATCTTAGATTTCAGACGAACTAAATGCCATTACTTTGATTCCTTGATGATAAGATGGTTGTGTTTGAGGCACAAACTGCAGCAAATGGCTATTTTAGCCTGGAACCAATCTACGAATAACAAATCCGGTGGCATACGGACATCTTCCTTGGCCCAGGCTGCTAGTTTTAACTGTCTAGGAGCCCACGTGTTGCTGCCATGTCAATCACAGAGTTAGATGTGCACTGTATCCCCCTGGGATATCTCCATTTAAACATTCCTATGTCCTATTGCAGAAAGAGGGCATGGCAGACAGATTCCAGAGCTGACTCTAGGACCTTAAGTAGGTTGCATTCAGCACTTCTCCTAGAGGAGTGGTAACTAACTGGGTACTTGCTTACTGCTCTGTCATCACCTAGCATAAAGAAGGAGATCATTTTTAGACACTGGCTTCCTTTACTGTACAGGGAATCCCCACCTGTAATTATAACATAGTGTTGGTGAAAGACAGAATAAAGACCACTTCCTACTACCCATCTCTGTTGGCACTGTAACCCTTTGGGTAAGAATCTAATAAAGTCTCTGTTGAGACAAAGGTATTTTTTTTTCCTTTGCTTCAAATACAAATATTTTCAACTTCCTGTGGATTTCCAGTTCAGCTGAGCACTGATATCTGGAAAAGAACTATGAGGCTCCAAGAGAACTAAGATATTAACTACAAGAAAAGAAAGTTTTAATGAAACAGCCCAATTTCCCCTTTACTGTAGTTTATGTAAAAACGTCTTTATTGTTGGTCAAGAAGAACAACACAAGCCTTGATTAGATCATAAAAACATTTTTTTTAAGCAGCTGAGATGGGGATTTTGGTAGTTCTTACTGACATTATGCAGCTGTTCCAGTGATCATGTTCCTGTGAAATTTCTCCAGGACCTGGACTTGCTTGTGTCGAATGAGGATGTGGGGACGAATCTTGGCAATGGCCTGAATTGCTTCCTGAGGGCTCCAGTGATGCAGCTGAAAAGGCAGAAACCCAGCAAGTGAAAATCCATTCCATCCCTGCACCATTTAATGGAACCTTCCCAGAGGCTATAGGCAACATTAGAGGTGTTAGAAAACTTACTGCTTCGCCCCTTCTGTTTACTTCATGTTCCTCTCAGAGAAGCCTGAATGTCATGAAATCATTAATGAAATGAATCCCTTGGTTAAAGAGGGATGGTTGCTGCCTGGGCCCTCCACTTTCTGTCTCACTTACTCTTCCTTCATGTTGTGAATAGGTTCCTGTCCTAGTCCCACCAGACCGGAGCAAAAGCGCAGCTTGCACTTTTAAATTTTTAAAAAACTTTACTGGTACTCATGTCGCACTTAGTGAGAAAATTTTCCCTTCAGCACTAGTGGAAAGTTTTCCAGGGAGCACTTAATAACACCGACAGAAGAACCCACGGGCAGAATTTTGTTCTTAGGGCTGGCTTACCCAGTTGGGTCAGTAGAGGAACTCAGAAAACCAAAGTCAGTTCTCTTGATCATTAATTGTATTTATTGAAAAGCATAGGAAGGCTCACCATTTCAGTGAACCAAGGAGAAAATCTGAACAAAAATGGGTGTTTTATCTGCTCCGTGAACCTACCCTCACGAGTGACTTGTTATTCCCACCTCAAGAATTAAGAACAGCAGAATCATTCAAAACAGCAAGGTGAGTTTGAGGCCTCTCTTAAAATAGGTGTACAAACTCTGTAAAGTCATGGAATATTAATGAACCTGTACATGCTCAAGTTTCTTGAGCAAGAGCAAACTATAAAGGTTGTCTGCTTTTGCCTAGACTGTATGAAAGTAAACCTCATTTAGCATAGACTCCTTACTTGAATTAAATATGCTGCTACCATGGTGGCACTGCGGGAGCGTCCTGCCTTGCAGTGCACATAGACAGTGTTACCGGAGGCTCGGTGTTTCAGGATGAAGTCAACGCCCTTGTGGAGGTTTTCCAAGGTGGGGACTCCAGTTAGATCCACAGTGCTGAGACACAATTGCTCCACTCCCATTGCCTCCCATTCCTGAAATGGACATAGCAGATTTGGTCAGTTAATTTTCTGTTTGTTTTTTTTTTTTCCCTGAAAGAAACCCAAAACCTGTTCAGACAGCTGAGAAACTCAGTGGGACTGTAAACAGACTTTGAATATCAATCCTTTAAATCAGAGGTATGAAAAGTTTAGTGCTGACCATCAGAAACGAGTAGTTAAAGGGAACTGAAAAGATGTGGTTCAGCTAAAGGAAAAGAGGGGAGTTGGGATCTCTTCCCAAAACAAGAGGCATTCCTGTATAGTGGTGTACATGGATTCAATGCTCCCCGTCCCTCCCCGCCACTGCAGCTGTAACAGTTCACTCGCATCCTCACGTTTTAGTGGTTTGTAAGTAAAGTAAGTGTTTAAGGTGCGAGAAGTCACGTCTTTGCTGTCACAGGACTTGGCGGTCGCTGCCGGGATCGCGGCAGGAGGCGAATAAAGCCTCGATGCGCCGGGACCGACGGAGACCTGTCCAGGGGTCATAGGCAATGCCCGGGCTCACCTGTGGGGAACAGCAGAAGAAGCGGGTCTCGTAGTTCTCGGTGAGGGTGACCACGGCGCGCACGTTCTCCTCCGCCACCATCTGCGGGCACAGGCGCGGTCAGGAACCGCCGCCCTCCCAGCCCGGCCCGGCCCGGCCGCCCGCCCGCCTTACCCTGCGGCTACGCCCCCGCAGCGGCAGCGCCCCGAGCAGCACGGCCTCGTCGATGCGGTGGAACCAGGGCCGGCGAGACCCCGGCAGCCGCGCCCGCGCCGCCGTGTACAGCAGCGAGGGGTAGAAGAGTAGCCGCGCCGCGCCGGCGCCCAGCGCTTCCGCCACCCCCATCGGTGCCGGCGTCGCGCCGCGCCGGGCCGGGCCGTGCCGAGGGCCGGACGAGCGCCGCGGCCGCACGCACCGACCGTGAGC